TTTTGCAAGTTTTACACTTTGGTAAAGTATATAGTCTTATATCTCAAATATAACACGATGACACCAAAGCCACAATATTAGCAGCTTTTAAAACCTAGACAATACCTTTTGATTGCTGAAAAATTTTGCATGACAATGATATGATTAATGGTTAATTACTACAGATATATCTAAAAACAAAAAGAACTTTGAATTAGTATGTATAGACTTTTTTTTTTGAAATTAGGTTTTATTATTGAGACAAAATTCTTACATTGGTTCTATCATGCTTTTGTGTTTGGAAATACACCTCCCATAACTTTCCAATTATTTTTTAAAAACACTAGATGCTCAAAAGTAGTAGGTAAAAGTAACGTTCTTTTCTCTGTCATTGTATTTCTAGTGTCACTGAAAAGTCTTTCACTTGCAGTCGAAGTTGCTAAAATAGCCAAGTATTTTCGAGCCAACTTACTTGACATGGGAACTGTTTTTGATTATTGTGCTACCAGGTTAAAGGACACTGATCCTATTGAAGTTCTTGAGCTCCAAGATAATCTAAAACTTCTAACTGTGGGCATCTATTATGAAACATCGAAGCTAATAAAGAATTAGAATGGCTTTGTTGACTATTATTTTCTTCTATTTTATATAGGATACGTGATTTTTTGTATTTGGTTTTAAGCAATTCATATGTTTCATTTTTTAGAGATTCTGATATAAATGAAAGGGGCTTGCACTGAGGATCCAAAAGTGTTGCCAGCATGGCTTCATCACTAGGCACATTCCAATAATGCACCATAGCATCATATAATGCAGATTTTATTTTTTTCTCAAGGTTTTTGCAATTTTGTGGATTATTAATTATAATTTAGCGCTGCTTTTCATTTGATACATAGTCGTGAACTCCTTCATCATCATCATCATCATAAACAATATTATTCTCAAAAGCATCATCAGAAGATTTAAAATCCGTATCTGAAGTTGTAGAAGAAAGAAGCTCTTGCTCAATCATGATAATTGCACCATAGATAAAACTAATCATGACATATTTGCTGCCTCCTAATAATTCTGTCGTTTCGGCAAAAGGCCTCAAAATTGCAGTTAACAATGATATGGCATTCCATTTATCTTTTGTTAGATTAATTTTTTCCAGACAAATACCATCTTTTCAAGTTTGCGAATTACTATCTAGCGTTAAATTGGCTATTATAATACTAATGATGCCCCGAATTTGTAAAAGTCGTTGCCAAGCGAGGTAAGATGAATTCCATCTCGTGGGAACATCTGCAATAATTCGCAACTGGTGATCATTATTTTTTAGATCCTAAAATTTATAAATAAATTATATATACCATGTGTTAGATTAAAGTTGTCATTTGAGAGCTTTATTAACAAATTTTGTCTAAAATTTTTAACACTATCAATTGACTTTAAACATATTTAATTCTTATATATAATTACATATATACACTAAAGATGTTATAGTTTCACCTATACCCAAACTTAGATTTCGCCCTAACTCTAAAACCCCAACCTTTTCTTTACTTACTATATTTTCGAATCAACATAAATTTTTTTGAGCATCGATTAATCTTTCTGTTTGCTTTGGTGTAGTAAAAAATAACATGAGTCTTTTGGCACGTGCGATTAGAATTTCAGTATCCAATAATCCCTTCCCGATAGCACATTGTAAAGTATAGGCTGTGTATGGGATCCTAATGATATCTGGCATACACTTTATAGATTTAACCATGTTGCTTCTGCTGTCCATCGTAATAGTAAAAACCTTATTTGTTAGTTTCCAATCGTCAATTACAAAATTTAATATTTTTGCAATTGCTTCGCCAGTATGTGGGTATGGCATATATTTTATTGTAAGAACAATTTGATTTAATTGAAAATCATTATCAATAAACGAACAGGTAACTCCGATATATCCCATATAATTTCGTCCTGTCTATAGATCACAAGTTAAAGAACAGATTATTATATTATTATTGAGTATCTCTTTAAGATTTTCTTTAGAACTTAAAAAGGCGTCTATAAGTAACTTTCAGCATAGCCTTTCACAAGGCAACTTATAGTTAGAATCAAATTCTTCTAAAAATTCGACAAAGCCAGCTCCTTCTCGTATATTGATAGGTAATTGATCCTTGACTAACATACTAATAAGTTTTGATCTCTTCTTTCTTTTTGCTTAGGATCGTTGACAACTATTCTTTGGAACACTTCATCAATATTTGTTTGTTTGGGCTGCTGTTGCTGAAGTTATCGTTTGTGAGATTCTTCAGTAATTTCATGTCGTGATACCAAGTGGCCAATAAAATTACCCGTTGAAGCATCTGTTGATCCCATTAGATGGCCACATGTTTGAGGCCCATCACTTCCATTAACTTTAAAGAAGCATCTAACTATTCATTTATATAGCTGTATAGGTTTATACAATTGATAGTAACTCCATATCCAACTTTTATATCTAGGTATCTTATCAATGGGTACAAACTAAAGATCTTTAAGATTAGGTTTTGGAGGTTGATTCATGCTAGAACTATATTCAGACTTACTGACAGTTGCATTATCATTATCATGTTTATTGGTTAAATGATCGTTATTATATTCATTAGTTAAATGATTAGTATCTTCGTCAGTTATATGATTATTATTGTGTTCGTTAGTTGCATAATAATTATCGTGTTTAATACTATCTTCATCACTTAGCGTCTCTGATAATGAAGTATTAATTATGCTTTCATTGGAGTGTTTTTTTTTTTTGTTACTCTCCATAGTTTTAGCTAAGTTGTTTCATTTTTTTGGTTGTCTTGTAAAGAAATTATTGGTATCCAAATTTTTTTTGGAGCCAAGTTTAGTATCATTCAAGCAAGTGGAGCTAGACACATCCTCTTGTTCCATATATTTCATATTATACTGTATGGTTTTTGCACAAAGTAGGAGTAACTCTTTCATGTAGATTATCATGCTGATGCATATTTGTATATTAAAGATCACAGGATATCATGAACGTATATAAATTCTAGCAATAAAGCTTTGAAAATTCAAATATAAGTGTTTGGTTCTGATAATTATCTTTCTATTCCATTTTCTTCTTTCTGAACCCAAGTTAAAAAAAATGAAAAATATTTAAATTTAAGATAGAGATTCTATTTATATAAAATGATAGATTTGATAGACTAATGATTGAATGTCGTCATCACTATATAATAAAAGAAAGTCAATCAACACATACGTGATTCAAATTCAAGGTAAAGGTCTCCTAATGCAGCGAGTTCACAATATATCTAAAGCTCTAAATTGAAAATTCAGTTAAATTGTAAGACTTCTTATTCAAGTAAAGTTCAAGACCATTAATTACTAGTGAAAATTGATAACAATTCAGACACAAAGCATTAATATCATTTGAGATCAGCAGAGAAAGATGATTCAACTTACAATTGGATATTTTTTTATATGAAGGGTATAGGCATTATTAAAAATAAATAGAAGGTATTTGAATTGTAAATTATATCAAAATGATGATTATGTGACTTAATACGAAAAGAAAGCATTAGAACAGTATTTAAAATCAAAAGTGACAATGGAATGAACAACTAAATGTTTAAGCTAGAAAAAGGAAAACAAGAAAGGCCAAAAATAAAATAATAAAAAAAAAAAGGCATTTAAACATTCTTGAAATCTGCTAGAATTCAATATTGGATATTGCTATGAAAATTGTTAAAGAAAGAAAAAACATTTAAGTGGTATTTAAAATCTACAGAGAGTGGTTACTCTGAAGGAAGTTGAAAACTGAATATCGGATATTTGTCATATAGTATAAAAATAGCATATATATAGCCACAATCTATGATATCTTTTGTCTTGAAAAAGTGACCTATATGGTAGTTTACTCCAGCATTACTTAAAACCATCAATTTAATACTACAATATTTATTTTATAAGGAGTGAGGATAGTTGGATTTAACGAAAGAAAAATCACCGTAATACATTACTGTTGTTTTACCTTGGTTACATACATATATATTTTTATACGTTTCAAATTGATATATTTCTGAAAACCTACTAACTTATATTAGAATATTAGGCCTCATGTTGATACATTAATATGCATGCCACTTATCGCTATATTAATATACACTTGAATTAGAATTTATTGAAAACCTGTAATATATTTTTTTTCCTTGAAAAGTGAAACTTCATATACCGTATAGAATGGTATGTATGAGTGCCATTAAGGGAAAACCTACAACTTATACTTTTTGAACATTAACTTTTAATAAAAATATCTTAAAATCATGCCTACTGTTCTTAATATTATTTGAATCATCTCATTAAGATAATTCAGATGATAAGATATTTTTATTAAAAGTAAATATTCAAAAAGTACGTGTAGGTTTTCCCTTGGCGGCAATTATATATAGTTTACTCTGGCATTACTTAAGATTATATATCGGTATATTAAATGCTAATAATATTTTTTATACGTACGTATACGTAGCATGTGTGAAGCTCGAAAGTCAATAATAGTTACTAAATAAAGAAAAGTCATTGTACGTATACATTATTGCTGTGTTCTATCACTACATTTTTATATGGTTTAGTTAATATATTTGTGAAACCTACAAATTTATGCCAGAGGCATTATGTATCTCATTAATATACACGACACTTTGTATAACAATCGTTATATTATAATTACAATATTAAGGATTTTATTGCTTAAAAAAAGTGAACTTGTATGTACATACGTAGTATATTTCTTTATTTCGCTTGTTCAAAAATAGCATATATTGTAGTTTATTACAGTATGTCTTGCTAAAACCTGCTACGTATTAAACAATTATCATGTATCTTTTCTAAAAAAAGCAAACGATTATTATGAAGGTATACAACATTTATGTATTTATAAGTTCTCATGATACCACAGCTTACTTGATACCCAGATAACCACAGATACCTGCAGATACAAGATATTCACAGATACTCACACAGATACTGCAGATACCCGGATGTCTACGGATACTGCAGATACCTGGATGTCCATGGATACTGCAGATACTCATGGATACTGTGGATACCACGGATACACGGATACCGCAGATTCTGCAGATACTTGCGAATACCCATTAGGTTATTCTTCTGAAATCTGGCAGATAAGTTTTTATCTGTGAAACATTTATAGTATCCAGATATGCGGTTAACTGCACGGATATCCGGATAAGCAGTTAACGGGTCCAATCTCTACAAAAGATTAGTATTATTTACACCTTATATTTTTAAATAGATAAAGTTAAATATAAAAATATAATTGTTTTGGTAACAATATCTTTTACACTACATTGATAACCAATTAGCACTCTGATTACTGAACTGACCAGAACCAGATAATAAAATTAGAAAAAAATTTAATGATAAGGCTTAGCTTTATATTTAAATTTAATATATAATTTTTAAATCTGTGTTTAGTATAGGCTATAATAGTGCTTTTATAGATTGTTTTTTTTCTGCTTATTTTATTTATTTTTGTTATTCATTTTCTTGTTATTTAGGCAGTTTTCTTCTTCACCTTTTTTGTTTTATTTGTTTTATCTTTTTTATATTAGTTTTTTTTTCATAAGTCAGTTAAAGACTATAAATTTTTCTACTTGAGAAGCTAAAAGAAGAAGGTTAGAAAATAAGACAATCTTAATAGACCATAAATACTATTTAATGATATATTGAAGAATTCATTTGCAGAGTATTTTAAATAGAGATAAACTTTACTATAGCAAATTGAACATAGGTAATTTGAATACTTCAGTTTGCAAAGAGCCAGGTTAATTAATACTTTTAACTTAAGTAAACTTTAGATAACTTTAGTCAAATTATATTTTTACTCATTAGTTTAAATATTTATACTTAATAAAGTATTAGCAAGATTGCCAAATTGACAAAAAAACTTGCTAAAACACTAAATTTAAAAATAATCTAGCAACTAATAATATCAAAAAAAAAAATAAATAAAGTAAAACAATGGTACAAAATGAAAAATTTTTTAAAAAATCAAAATAACTATTCTAGCAATAACTCTAATAGTGATAACTCTAATTGTGACAACTCCAATAGCAATAACTCAAAAGAGATACTAAGATTAGAAGCAAAATATAATAATATTCAGAAAGTAAATAAAAAAAAGTAAAAAAGAAATAGTTATAATATCTTTAAAAATAAAAAAATACACACTATAAATTATAGTAATTTCAAAAAAGCAACTTCAAGGTTAGAGATGCCTGATGAAACTATGTGATACTAATTATCACATGCTATTACTTATAAAAAATCAAAATAGATTGTTGATTTTTATATATTGTACCATGTGACAATTAGCATCACATGGTTTCATCAAGCATCATTATTCAAGGCAATGGTTTCATCAGGCATCATTATTCAAGGCAATGACTTCAAGGAATAACTTCAAAAACAATGACAATAACTAATAAAAAAATTATATAAAAATTAGTAAGTAGTAAAAAAAACTAAAAAAATAATAAAAATTATAAGTATAAACATAAAAAACAAAAAAGTAAATATTTATTTATTCACAGAGTAAATATAATTGTGTATTAATAGGGTTAGGGTCCCATAGCCTAGTGGTCTAGGTGCCTAACTCTCCACAGACGAGGTTGATGATTCAATTATAGCTGGTGGTAATTAATTTAATTAATTATGCTTTTAAATGCGGAACCCTGTAGCAGTAAGACCATGTGAAATACTATTTGGCTGATAAAGAATTCTTGGAAGAAGCCCCGAGTTATGGAGAAGATCGGGCACTGCATGTGACATGGGTCACAGAAAGATAATACCATATAAGGCTATGCATGTAAATCCTCGATTGGCTAGGTAGCACCAACAACCCTAAGGCGGCATTGGGATCTTGATTGGGAGGACGGCTGAATGTAGTATATCTAGAAGTGGTGAGAGAAGCGGTGAACATAGTAAGGGGCTGTGGTAAGGGGATGGCTTTACCAAATATAGAACACTTCTGGCACTTAGAAACAATAAAAACTGATTAAAGAAGTCTAGAACGTATGGCAAGCATCTTGGTAGTACGTAAAAAAATTCAGCTAGTGGGTAATAGTCACACAACTAGCATGGGAGTTGTATAATGAAGCATAACAGGAGTACTGGGTTCCAGAGTACTGAATTGGGGCAGTACTTAAAAGAGGTTTTTAACTTCTATCCTAAGGTTCTAGGCTCCTGTAATACCATGAGTGATGGTAGTACTATAAAAGAGATGGTAGCCCGAATTGGCTGTATAGAACATTAACGCCTATGAAGTATATGTAGAGAACTGCAACACCACGGGGGAGGAACCTGGAATGTCTATGACATACTTACAAAGTGTCTTCTGGAGACACCAAAATAGAAGCACCAATGGTACCCATCTCTAGGACACCAATTTGAAAGTAATACAAGAAGCGGTTTGGGAGTAATACTATATATGGAAGGACAAAAGTAATTGGTGAGATTTGTACAGTAATATATATGCGGGATATATATGAATAAAAAAAATAGGTGGTAGTACCTGGCCAGTGAACTGGGAATTTGTGGTCTGAGGTAGGTCATGGAAACCCAAGAAGGTTAAATACGCAAGACTAGTCGCATATAGGTGCTAAATAGTAACCGGGTGAGTCATACTTCATTAATAAGATAGACAAAGTTCTATAGATAGAAACAAAAATATGTAATATGTATGTTCTATTTCTGATAATAAAGTAGTGGCATAACTAGCTTTAAAAAAAAAAAAAAATTGTATATTAATATATAAAAATTATAATAATTATATACAGTAGGTGGCTATATTATTGTGGGCAGTTTTTAAAAATAAATATAAAATTAAATAAATAAGATATTAAGCTAAAAATATAAATATAAATTAATTAAATCTATATCTTTTAAACAAAAAAAAATTTTAAAAAATTCTATGCTACAGTTTTTAAAATAATTATATTTAAGTAAAATTTTGAATTTTTATATTGAACCAATTTTCTAAATTTTAATATTGTTAAATAGTAATTAGTATTACTAAATAAAGTAATATACAAACTTAATTTTTTTACTAATAAACTAGCAATTTTTTTAAATAAAGTTATTTAGTATAACAAATTACACATATTATAAAAGTTTTATAATTTTTTAAAAATATTTAATAAATTACTATATTAAGTAATAAAATTACTATATTTGCTAATTTGTTAATTTTATTTTGATAATTTAACTTTAATATTTAACAATAATATTTTATTCAAATTTTTTTAAAAATTTCTAAAAATTTAGAATTATATGTAATTTGTTATACTAAACAAATTTTACATAATAATGAAGTTAAATTTACTTAATAAAAAATTAACTTTTAATATAAAGTAATTATGATAATTAATTTTTAATAATTACTATTTTTGGTTTGGTATAATATTACACAAAATTACCCGAGAGAATCTAATAATGACGGTACTCTAATGTCTAACCAGAGTACTTCTAATTCTTGCAGAACTGTGAGAGCCGAGTATACGGCGAGTGACAATGTAGAAGACATTTATAAGGTCCATGTTACAATTCTCTCTACACCTTATGATTTATCCACCTGCTTTAATCAATTCCTTCTATCCATCAACTCTCCTCCAATCCAAGCTCCTCAAACACTCAATTCCTTCTTTTTACATCTACTCAAAA